CTCCCTGCAATGTAGTCTGTCTCACAGTCCCTGAACCACATTATTTTCCCTAATGCCTAGCCCCTCCCTGCAATGTAGTCTGTCTCACAGTCCCTGAACCACATTATTTTCCCTACTGCCTAGCTCCTCCCTGCAATGTAGTCTGTCTCACAGTCCCTGAACCACATTATTTCCCTAATGCCTAGCTCCTCCCTGCAATGTAGTCTGTCTCACAGTCCCTGAACCACATTATTTTCCTACTGCTTAGCTCCTCCTGCAATGTAGTCTGTCTCACAGTCCCTGAACCACATTATTTTCCCTAATGCTTAGCTCCTCCCTGCAATGTAGTCTGTCTCACAGTCCCTGAACCACATTATTTTCCTAATGCTTAGCTCCTCCTGCAATGTAGTCTGTCTCACAGTCCCTGAACCACATTATTTTCCCCCTAATGTTAGCTCCTCCCTGCAATGTAGTCTGTCTCACAGTCCCTGAACCACATTATTTTCCCTAATGCTTAGCTCCTCCTGCAATGTAGTCTGTCTCTACAGTCCCTGAACCACATTATTTTCCTAATGCTTAGCTCCTCCCTGCAATGTAGTCTGTCTCACAGTCCCTGAACCACATTATTTCCCCTACTGCTTAGCCTCCTCCTGCAATGTAGTCTGTCTCACAGTCCCTGAACCACATTATTTTCCCTAATGCTTAGCTCCTCCCTGCAATGTAGTCTGTCTCACAGTCCCTGAACCACATTATTTTCCCCTACTGCCTTAGCTCCTCCTGCAATGTAGTCTGTCTCACAGTCCCTGAACCACATTATTTTCCCTAATGCTTAGCCCTCCCCTGCAATGTAGTCTGTCTCACAATCCCTGAACCACATTATTTTCCCCTAATGCTTAGCCCTCCTCCCTGCAATGTAGTCTGTCTCACAGTCCCTGAACCACATTATTTTCCCCTAATGCTTAGCCCCTCCCTGCAATGTAGTCTGTCTCACAGTCCCTGAACCACATTATTTTCCCCTTCTGCTCAGCTAGCTCCTCCCTGCAATGTAGTCTGTCTCACAGTCCCTGAACCACATTATTTTCCCCCTAATGCCTTAGCTCCTCCCTGCAATGTAGTCTGTCTCACAATCCCTGAACCACATTATTTTCCCCTAATGCCTTAGCTCCTCCCTGCAATGTAGTCTGTCTCACAGTCCCTGAACCACATTATTTTCCCCTAATGCCTAGCTCCTCCCTGCAATGTAGTCTGTCTCACAGTCCCTGAACCACATTATTTTCCCCAATGCTTAGCTCCTCCTGCAATGTAGTCTGTCTCACAGTCCCTGAACCACATTATTTTCCCCAATGCTTAGCCCTCCCTGCAATGTAGTCTGTCTCACAGTCCCTGAACCACATTATTTTCCCCAATGCTTAGCCCTCCCTGCAATGTAGTCTGTCTCACAGTCCCTGAACCACATTATTTTCCCCAATGCTTAGCCCTCCCTGCAATGTAGTCTGTCTCACAGTCCCTGAACCACATTATTTTCCCCAATGCTTAGCCCTCCCTGCAATGTAGTCTGTCTCACAGTCCCTGAACCACATTATTTTCCCCAATGCTTAGCTCCTCCTGCAATGTAGTCTGTCTCACAGTCCCTGAACCACATTATTTTCCCCCTAATGCTTAGCCCTCCCTGCAATGTAGTCTGTCTCACAGTCCCTGAACCACATTATTTTCCCCAATGCTTAGCCCTCCCTGCAATGTAGTCTGTCTCACAGTCCCTGAACCACATTATTTTCCCCAATGCTTAGCCCTCCCTGCAATGTAGTCTGTCTCACAGTCCCTGAACCACATTATTTTCCCTAATGATTAGCCCTCCTGCAATGTAGTCTGTCTCACAGTCCCTGAACCACATTATTTTCCCTAATGCTTAGCTCCTCCCTGCAATGTAGTCTGTCTCACAGTCCCTGAACCACATTATTTTCCCTAATGCTTAGCCCTCCTGCAATGTAGTCTGTCTCACAGTCCCTGAACCACATTATTTTCCCTAATGATTAGCTCCTCCCTGCAATGTAGTCTGTCTCACAGTCCCTGAACCACATTATTTTCCCTAATGCTTAGCCCTCCCTGCAATGTAGTCTGTCTCACAGTCCCTGAACCACATTATTTTCCTCCTCTAATGATTAGCTCCTCCCTGCAATGTAGTCTGTCTCACAGTCCCTGAACCACATTATTTTCCCTAATGATTAGCCCTCCTGCAATGTAGTCTGTCTCTACAGTCCCTGAACCACATTATTTTCCCCTAATCATTAGCCCTCCCTGCAATGTAGTCTGTCTCACAGTCCCTGAACCACATTATTTTCCCCTAATGCTTAGCCCTCCCTGCAATGCTGAAGCTCTAAATGAAGCAAGCCTGAATATCCCAAATCACTGGGGCTCCTTTCAGTTAAATCATGGGTTTATTTGTTACTATCAAAATTATATACATTTAGGGACTAAGCGTTAGTCTACCCCACCCCTGTACACCCCTTTTGTTGACTTTTAATTCACGTATGTTTCTGATATAAGTTTTAAGTGGCCTTATTGTAATTCTACAATTAGTTGAAACATATTTTCCCCTAAAATTATCATTTCAGTGATATTTACTTACCTGTCTTGCCCTGATCTCTTTGGTTCTGAATCAAAATAAATGTTGTGAATTAGTCAAAATGATATTTGAGACATAATATTTTTAACGAAGACAGCAAACTGCCTGTCAAAAGAACATACATCAATACTTGAAAACGCTTAGCATGGAAAACAATACATGCCTATTCGACGGTTATGTATTTGATACGGGCATCACAGTGTTAAATTTCGCCTAACATTTCCACAGTTTCATTAGCTTTTTAACGACTTCACAACGTTTGCAGTTTCTTGGTCACGTTCAACAAACACCAGGATGCATCCTTTATCTGGCATTACACCCTTTTCTCTAGCGTATGTGACAACTTCATGAGTGAGTGAGTGAGTGAGTGAGTGGGTGGGGTGCTTGATGTTTAGTGAATGAGTGAGTGCCAAAACTGATACATTTCCGCAATGGGGTACAGCATTCATTGTCATCCCTCTTACATCTTTCTCACTGATATAAATTTTAAATGCAAAAATAGGAAACACACCTTTAATTTCACCTGTCTTCTTCCGATTTCTGATCACGAGGACAGAGATGATGACAGTCAGAGCAACTGCGCCGACGGTGCTCCCAAGGATGGTGTACAGCTGTGTTCTGTCTTCTACAGACTGATGCCCTGAAAGTGAACGGTCAGGTGGTTCAAGCATTTTCATTGGTTACTCAGAATCTCACAGTGCAAAGCTTTTATATACACTCTGGGATAATATCAAACACTGTCCTCGGTTCTGACCCTCACACGTAGCTGTCTGACAACAACGGAATTTATCATCATGTGTTTTGATGAGTAATATTCTGAACAATGTTGAGTGTTGCGTGGACACACCCGTATATGTGACTCCTCCCATTCCAGTGCATGTTTTGAAGAGCCGGCTGAACAATTATGCTTTTCATACACACTTCACAGGCTTTCGCAAGAAAAGTCTAATCTTACCTGTTAGTTCCAAGACCTGTATCAACACAGTGTTACTGATTGTCGATAACACTGGAATTCCGCATGTCCATTCAGTGCCATTCACATAGGGACTGGCTACCATGGTTACGTTGTGCTGGTTGTAGTTGTAGCTCTGTGTCACATCCATCACAGCAGGGGTGTTGGAGTTGTCCAAGACGAGATAACTTCCGTTACTGAAGGTCACGAAGATTTCTTCAGAGTTTTGAAGCCAAACCATATTGGAAGTAATTACTTGTCCTCCAGTCTCAACTGTGCAGCTTAGAGTAAAGTTGTTTTCATCGAATATCTTATCTGGATACACATTTAGAGTGAGATTTCCTGAAAGATTCAATAAATATGCTTTCTCGAAAATGATCTTATGACAATGTCTCAATGGGATATAATTAACTTATCACACATACGCAAATATGTACTAGATAAAATCGACCCTAACCCTCCCCAGAATATTAAGAAATCTGTGCTGAAGTCCAAGTTTGTCATACAATCCCCACCAAATGAAGAGCTAGTCTGAAACACGTGTATAAGCAAGTCAAGTGTTCACCTAAACAAACACGGGAATCGGTGGTACAAATCAAAGAAGTAGGACATTGCATACTTAAGATTCTTTTCAAATCTTCGTGTATAATCCTTAGGGGCAAAACACATACAGAGCATGTTTTATGTGCTTAAAACATCTGTTTTCCAATGTGTATATGTCTTTTTTAACCAGCACCCATTCCTGCAACAGTTTGGAAAAGAATGGTGCTGCAAGATAATTTTGTACACCAATACACTGGTTTAGGGAAGACTTGGATAAGAATTGAACTTGGAACTGCAAGACCTCATCCCTATTGAGAGAATGTAAATTTGTGTCAACAAAAGTGTACATTCATTTGTTTTGGAAGATAAAGAACTCGTGGAGATGCAGGTTGGAATTGATCTTTAGCATCCCATGGGTGTCGTTAGGGCCCACTAACGGGATCGGGTGGTCAGGCTAGCTAACTTGGTTGTGCTCATGATGTTTATCACTGGATTGTCCGGCCCCAACTCAACTATTTACAGATTGCCGCCATATAGCTGGAATATTGTTGATTTCTGGCGTTAAACAACTAACTTGAATTAATATATATTAAAAGCACCTGCAGAAGTCACTACAGTTCATGTTTTGGGATCTAACATCACTCAGTTATCAACTGAAAATGAAACATGATAAAATCAGGTACAGTGTAGTTGCTGGAAAGTTTAGAATTTTGTTGTTGTTAAAAGAATAACCAGTTTTAACGCAAAATTGACGATTAACGGAAGACACATGTATAAAATAAAAGGTAACAGAAATTGGATTGGTGATTGGTAATCCTAAAAGAAATAATTCTATGAATCTTACCAACAGATATGCCAAACGGGTTTGGCGTAATAAGTGTGAAATGCGTTACACCTGCTGTATCACCTGAAGAAAAAGAGAAAGCACATCATACTTCAGAAAAGTCCGTTCTTCTAGGACCTCACTCCACTGGAAAAATCAGGCAAATATGTCTTTTAATTGATAACTTAACACAAACGCGATTGTTTCTTTAATGCGCAAGTGCAAAATTATCTCATGTCATGAAAACAGGCGGCAAGAATGCGGGACACACAGTCACAGTCAGTTAATCCTGTGGGTCTATATTTTGTACAGACAGTTCACCTAGCAGCGGGTACCCGGTAGTTCGGAATGGTAATGTGACAAGAGCTTTGGGTTCCCAAAGAATCGAAATGGGCGGTCACAAGTACACTAATCTATTGAAATTGACACACTCCACAATTACTATTATGTTGATTGATATTAATATTGCACTTACCTGGTAATTGAACTGGATTACTCCAGGTGCGTGTGGTCTCATGGTTGTTGCATCTCCATATAGACATGCCTTCATGCACGTTAGAAACGGTCACACTGTGACTCCTCCAAGTCCCAGTCAGGTGAACGGGGTTTGCAAATGTCTTGTCCAGGATGTGCATGGATGAATTAAACGAGCTGTATGTTTGGAATACAAGGGTGTCATTTCGGTACCAATAGACAGTGCTCAGTTTCAGGACGCCCAAACCGTCTGTTTTCGTACAGCGTAACCTGAACGAGTTCGTAGCCGTCATTTCTCCATCTAGTATCGGATAATCTGTATATAAATACGCGAAACAAACGTTATAAGTTTCAAAACAGCGCCAGCTTCTGGAAGCAAGGTGTCACACATAATAAGATGGAAATCATAATGTAATCACAAATCAGTTGTGCTTTTAAGGAACTTACGACATGACGACTGCCACACGAGGAGGACCCAGACTGTTGCAGCAATCAGCCCACGTGCTGAATCCCACATCGTGCAATGATGGATGCTCAACCTGAAACATGTTGTTTACAATCACCTGGTACTGCTTCATGCAGTGAAGCATGCACGGGCTACAAGTTGGATCGACACAGTATGCACACGGGGAACCCAGCCCTGATTGAGTAACAGGAACTCCTGGCACCAAGGTCTGAACCAGTCATATCAATTGTACTCTGCTTGCGTCTTCAGTTCAAACTCCCGTAACGTTTCCCCAAATTGCATCCCGTATGTGTTCACGTATTTCAGGCAAGCAAATCGCACATGCATAATATTTTTGCTCTCTTGCGGTCGTAGATTGAAACAAATATCTGACATTTAAGGCCTGAGAGGTTTTGGTTTTGATCGTTCCCCTACTGAAACCAATGTTTGGCAAGTCTACACACTGTTATGTATGATACCTCAGCAATGTTGTCGTAATGTAGGAGTTGTATACTTTACACATAAAGTTCAATTAATATGCCTTTTGTTTGAATGGGGCATAATTTCGGGTGATGCGTCAAAAGTAGTCATTTGTTGGTGACCGGACAAAATCCACCCGGACAAAATCCACCCCAAATTGCCACGGACAAAATCCACCTCTCCTTAACAAAAGTGGACAAAATCCACCCTTCTCAAATAGTTAAAAGTTTTAGTGTGTCCTGGCCTGATCTTTGATCAAGTTGTTTTCTCAAGCATTGCATGCATTGTTTTGACAGCATTTATGTTTTCCAATAGGCTGTTGTTCCTAGATGTTGTTTCAAACATTAAAGGTTTCTCCATTTGTCCATTTTGATCATATAAAACATTTGTTACAGCGGACCATTTCAGTTACCCTGCACCATGTCTGTCTGTAGGCCAGATGACTACTCTGCTATTGCCAACATAACGGCAGTAATCCAATAAACTAAAACCTTCCTACTATCATGTTACTCTCTACCAGGTGACCCGTGAAGGTCCGTGTTAGAATGAGCCTTCAGTAACCCATGCTTGTCGTAAGAGGTGCCTAACGGGATCTGGTGGTCAGGCTCGCTGACTTGGTTGACCCACATGTCATCGGTTCCCAATTGCGATGCTCATGTTGTTGATCACTGGATTGTCTGGTCAGACTCGATTATTTACAGACCGCCGCCATATAGGTGGAATATTACTGAGTGTCGGCGTAAAACTAAACTCACTCACTCACTCTCATCGAGGTGGCAATGCTGACGTCAAAATGTGGATAGCTGTCTCAGTTTGAAAAATAATGCAGGACGTTCCATTCCCATTGGAGTGTGACCTCCATGGACGTCATGGCCATTGGTCAACGGGTGCTAGCCCAAGTTCCTGCAATATGTAACGCTGTTTTATCTGCTGCTCTTTTTCACCAGATCATGCCAAATATGTTTAATTAGTTTTCAGGTTTGGGCAGCGTAAGGACCAGTCCATGACATCAACATCGGCGCGTCAGAATGACATCAACGTCGGCGTAACGTGAGTCGATGCGCGTCAAAATGACATCAACATCGGCGTTACATGAGTCGATGAGCGTCAGAACTGCAGTATGTCTTGTTAAAGTGTATGTCCAGGATCATGTAGCTGCATGAATGGTGGAAGGACTGGGGTCAACCCGTGGTCACGATATTGTATATGAGTAAGAATTCCCTGGACAACAATCTATTGAGATCGACCGTTGCCCAAAAATGCCCCAAAAACGTAACACGAAAAACAAGACTATCGGCACCACATCTGTGCCCATGAAGTTACATGAGATTATGACTTATTTAAAATGATTCATTTAGCTGAACACACAGATATTACATCCTCATACGAATAAAGCTTAATATAACGCCCCCTAAGTTATTTTCAGTGATTACCAACTCGACCCAGTTAACCTTTGCAATGGTGTGTACATAGTTGTAAGGCGTCAGACTAGTGATCTAGCGAGCTTGAGGTGTCGGGATCGAGCCCACCTGTGACCGGGTGTAGATACCTTGGAGTCAACTTTGTGTGCAGACTCTTTCAGTGTTGTCACAACCCCTAGTGTACAGTACACAAGTTAAAAGAACAAATGAATCCGTTGGTATATGACAAGATGGTGGCCACATGAATACGTGCAAAAACCTAGTTGCGGGTACACCACTGTGAAGTAAACTTTGACGAAGTCCTGTGACTATTTGCCCCAGTCCACACAGCTGTGAATGGGTACCTCGTAACGATGGGAAAGCCACAATAACTCGGTGCGCCTAGTGGCTTTAAGAGTTGTATGATCCCCAGGAGTTGAGATTGATATTACGATGTGCCGTTGATATTGATACCCATCGATCACGGGAAAAAAGATACCAGCGCCTTGAGCATGTACTAGGTGCGTGGATATGTGCGCTATATAAATATCCTATGATCCTATAACATAATAATAATAAGTATAGACCCCTCACCCCCACCCCAAAATGAAAATGACAAACATGCAACAGTCGGTCATTCAATATCTTGTGAACCCTCTCCGCGCGTCCGAGACACAGGTGCACCTTTGTTCTCATTCTCCTTATCAAGTTCAGGAAGAAACCTTGCGGAATCGCATTCTATTCCTCTACTAGAGCTGTGCGGAGTCCCGGGGATCCACTGGGGCTCGGTGGCGTGTAAACACGTGTTGGGTGTGGGGTGTTGGGGAAGCGTGCTGGGTGTGAGCATGTTGTTTCAGTGCTGCATGGGAAAACCCGGCCCGACTGAGTACCTTGACTTAGCCATTCACATCGTTAATGAACGTAATGAATATTATCCATCATATGCAGTGAGAAATGCTCAAAAAGTTTTAGCACTTACCATTAATAATACAGACGACTCCAGAAAATGTGCTTCCCCGTCTGTTTGGTGAATGTGTGGATATGGTGATAACATTACTGACAGTGTCAGGTCTACACTAGCTACATCCTGGTTGGTTCCCCTGGGCCCCTCGATGTCAGGAAAACAGATACGTATACCGTTGCCTCTACGCTACTATCGCCAACTTGAATCAGGTGCCTGTGTGTTACAGATACGTATACCGTTGCCTCTACGCTACTGTCGCCAACTTGTACCAGGTGCCTGTGTGTTGCAGAGATTCGTATACCGTTGCCTCTACGCTACTATCGCCAACTTGTAGCAGGTGCCTGTGTGTTGCAGATACGTATACCGTTGCCTCTACGCTACTATCGCCAACTTGAATCAGGTGCCTGTGTGTTGCAGATATATACGTTACCGTTACCTCTACGCTACTATCGCCAACTTGTAGCAGGTGCCTGTATGTTTTGCGGATACGTATACCGTTGCCTCTACGCTACTATCGCCAACTTGTAGCAGGTGCCTGTGTGTTGCAGAGATTCGTATACCGTTGCCTCTACGCTACTATCGCCAGCTTGTAGCAGGTGCCTGTGTGTTGCAGATATGTATACCGTTGCCTCTATACGCTATTATCGCCAACTTGTAGGAGGTGCCTGTGTGTTGCAGATACGCATTATACCGTTGCCTCTACCCAATTATCGCTAACTTTGTAGGAGGTGCCTGTGTGTTGCAGATTCGTATACCGGCCTGCAACTATCGCTGTCAGGTGCCCAGTGTGTTGCAGATACATATACCGTTGCCTCTACGCAACTATCGCTAACTTGAATCAGGTGCCTGTGTGTTGCAGATACGTATACCGTTACCTCTACGCAACTATCGCCAACTTGTATCAGGTGCCTGTGTGTTGCAGATACGTATACCGTTGCCTCTACGCAACTATCGCCAACTTGTATCAGGTGCCTGTGTGGTGCGTTGTATTCCACGACGACACCGACAGGAATGATAGAATTTATTTGAATTGACTGCAGAATTTATTTTCGCATTTTAACAATATAGACGTCAGCTCTTTAAAACAAAAAAAGGCATATGTCAAGAGAATAGATCGTTAATACATAAGGCTTAAGCAAAACAAATATATGCCATGAAAAGGTGCCAACAAGCGGGGCGAAGAAAGACACTTTAAAATTGATTCTTCCTTTACCTCAAGCACCAGTAACACTACTGGGAGGGTGGAATGGGTGACAGAATAGCAAACGCTGGACGACAAACGCCGGGCGGGCGCGAAAGCAACGTGAGTGAATGAAAGTGAAAGGGAGGTAACTCTAATAAAACTAGCGCGATCATGCAAAGGAGGTCACTCGTGACTAGCATATCAAATTATATTTACTAAGGTAAAATATTACAAATGGAATAAATACGTAACATCTTGCTTTGGAGGAAGTCGGTTCATGAGTGGGTTCGTCCGGTTTGGCTGGGCGAGTGTCTCAGTAAAGTTTTTGCGAGAGTTTGGCTCCAGCTTGTGAAGTATTTCCCCGTTCAGGGAGAGTTGTCCCTGCTCATCACTGCTGATGTAATCACAAAGTTGACCTTGCAACATTGAGCTCCAACTACACAGGATAAGTTGTGCTATATTAACATGACCATAACGCTGGAGGAAAGAGATGTGATATGTGTTTATCCGGCTCTTTATGTTTAATCACTTTGTTTACGCATGTAAGAAAACACGCTTTCGAGGATTTGGTAGAGGGGGAGGGATTTCCCGACGCCGATGGATTTACATCCTCTACCAAAACCTTGGATGCGTTATCTATTGTTTCAGATCTCTATTTAAAACATTGGGTTATAACGAATCATTCATGACATCTGTATGTCGCGAATGCTGGCGAATGTTCGCCCGAATACACGAACTGTAAGTGCACGAGATTTTCGTGATTGCGTCACAGTTATGTACCACGTGTAATCGTTAGCTAAGCGCAGCTCACTACCAACCATGTCTTCTACAACCACTGGTAGAAAACTTGCTCACAGTAAGAGTTCTGGTTTGCTATCACTGCTGCTGTTTGGCCGAATGTGTTCCTCGTATTAAAGTTAACAATAGGTTGGGAGAGTAGCATCGCCATCTGTGGGGCGATGGTGTAGCCTAGTGGTTAAAGCGTTCGCTCGTCACGCCTAAGACCCGTATTCGATTCCCCACATGGGTACAATGTGTGAAGCCCATTTGGTGTCTTCCGCCGTGATGTTGCTTTTTTGTCTCTGCTGTTAAAATGTCAACGATATTTTGTGAAAGGACACACTTGCTCCTCATTTTGTGCTCTGCTGTCGTCCAAAATCTACCAGGGATACATTTTTGAAAGGACACACTTCACCATCTCCTCATGTCCTCCTTCAGATGCCACATGCAGAATGTTGCTGTCGTCAACATCCTACCAGGGATACATCAGCACCTTTACTTACAAGGACACACTTCACCATCTCCTCATGTCCTCCTTCAGATGCCACATGCAGAATGTTGCTGTCGTCAACACCTACTAGGGATACATTAGCACCTTTACTTACAAGGACACACTTCACCATCTCCTCATGTCCTCCTTCAGATGCCACATGCAGAATGTTGCTGTCGTCAACACCTACTAGGGATACATCAGCACCTTTACTTACAAGGACACACTTCACCATCTCCTCATGTCCTCCTTCAGATGCCACATGCAGAATGTTGCTGTCGTCAACACCTACTAGGGATACATTAGCTTCTTTACTTATAAGGACACACTTCACCATCTCCTCATGTCCTCCTTCAGATGCCACATGCAGAATGTTGCTGTCGTCAACACCTACTAGGGATACATTAGCACCTTTACTTATAAGGACACACTTCACCATCTCCTCATGTCCTCCTTCAGATGCCACATGCAGAATGTTGCTGTCGTCAACACCTACTAGGGATACATTAGCACCTTTACTTACTAGGACACACTTCACCATCTCCTCATGTCCTCCTTCAGATGCCACATGCAGAATGTTGCTGTCGTCAACACCTACTAGGGATACATCAGCACCTTTACTTACAAGGACACACTTCACCATCTCCTCATGTCCTCCTTCAGATGCCACATGCAGAATGTTGCTGTCGTCAACACCTACTAGGGATACATTAGCACCTTTCTCCCCACTTACAAGGACACACTTCACCATCTCCTCATGTCCCTCCCTTCAGATGCCACATGCAGAATGTTGCTGTCGTCAGCACCTACTAGGGATACATCAGCACCTTTACTTACAAGGACACACTTCACCATCTCCTCATGTCCTCCTTCAGATGCCACATGCAGAGATGTTGCTGTCGTCAGCACCTACTATGGATACATCAGCACCTTTACTTACAAGGAAGTCATACGTGTGTCTGTGCCAATAGAATGCAGTCAGCAGGAGAGGTGTTAACTTCTTGGACCCATATCTAACGTTCATGTTCACCCGAGTATGAGACAAGAGCCGCGTCACTCGTTTAAGATCATCTTCCTTGCAGGCAGCATGAAGGTTGCTTTTAGCGTCTTTCTCTTCATGTAATGAGGGGCCACTCCAGGGTAGGACTGTTTCCAACCTGAAGATATGGACGGACATAATGCACTGACATCGGTGTGTTAGAACATATATACTCATGGAAACGAATAGAGGAACACACGAAAGTGCAAGTGTTCCTATAATTATTTCCTGGTTTCTTGACATGCTTTATATTATATTAACTGTGGGTGAAAATCTGGAAATAGATAAAAGAACACTTGTACTTACATGCTTTCCCTTATTCGTTTCCATGAGTATATATACTCATACCAATAATGTTTGTCACCCCTCCCAACCCCCACCTAACAAACCCACCCACACCCCTCCAATTAAAACAATTGAAGGGGTGACAACCATTATTGGCATGAGTATATGATATACTTGAGAATGGATTTAGCTGTTAAAATACGATATACCAATCAGAATGCGCGTAAGGATATATATACCATTCACACTTTGCTAAGGATCAAATCATGGATTCAACAGAAAACTATTATGTGGGGTCAAATTTGGTTTAGATATCTAATAGTATTAACTATATTGTAAGGATGGATCCTGGGTTTCAGTTTGTCCTTTCGTCTTGTGGAACCCATACCTGTCATTGACAGGTGTTGTGTACTAGTCAATGACTCGTTCCATGTTTTGCAAAATGGTTGATTGGTGCCATGAAAACAATTTCTATGGTTACTCATGTATCAAAGTTGTATGGTGAAGTTAAAGTGACTGTTTGCCTAAAGAGGGGTTACCATACCATTATTTATCAATTTCAAATGGATGCAATTTCAAATTATTAATCTACTTTTAAGTAAAGTTGTGATTTTTTGTGATCCTTAGCAAAGTGTGAGTAGTATACTGTGATAAAACAAATCCCAAGTACTTAAATTGGTTATGGTATATCGTGAAAATATATATCGGTTCCCTTTTCGGCTCTGATCCGCCTCTGTGGTATATATATATTTATCTATTATCAAACCCAAAGGGGGAGATTGTATCTCACACAACACACCCTCATTACCTCGGACGTAGGCACCATACTGCGTTGGTCGATGTACGTCGCCTGATGTCTACACAATCCCAAGATATGTGTATTATATTTGTCCTGTTGGTTTTTAATATTCTTGTATAACGCCCTTTGAGTCTTTGTTCAGTGACAGCAGACACATGGACTCCCAGGATAGATTGTATTTGAGCTTTAACACAGGTTTATATTCCCAGAAACCCCCGTCCACTAATCAGGCGCGTGTGTAGGGGTATAGTATTTGTTTGTTTAATCAGATTCCTGTGTCTACATTACTATGTATGGATATAGAGTACAGTGGCTCCGGGGCAAGGGAAGGCGGGAAGACCTGGTTATACAAGTCTCTATACATGAGTTGTGATACACCTGTACACCTAATCTGTGGACTTGGTTTCCAGAAAGTGAATAAGTATATTCGCTGCTTTCAGGTACACACATTGGGTAGACGGATGATTTTGATACTGTTCCAAAATCGGCAAATCGTTTTCTGAGAACTGACTTATTTCAGTTTGTTACATTTTCTTCCCTCACAGAGTTATATCTAGAACCCAACCGTTTCCGAACGACGTTTTAAATATTTAAGACGAAACTTTGTGCACTTCATTAATTATAATATTTTCTGATACATCGCTAAAAAATTATTGAACTGCGTTAATAACTGAATGTGACACCATTCATTGTGAAACAACTTCAGATACATTCCTAGGTTGGGGTAGAACAGACCCATGTCACGACTACCTGAACCCAGAGAGCCATACACCCTGATGTGTTCTCATGTTATTATTGACGGCTGCTTGGTGCGAGTGGTATATACCACATGGCGACATATTGATTGGTACGAGTGGTATATATCACATGGCGACATATTGGTACTAGTGGTATATATCACATGGCGACATATTGGTACGAGTGGTATATACCACATGGCGACATATTGGTACGAGTGGTATATATCACATGGCGACATATTGGTACTAGTGGTATATATCACATGGCGACATATTGGTACTAGTGGTATATATCACATGGCGACATATTGGTACTAGTGGTATATATCACATGGCGACATATTGGTACGAGTGGTATATATCACATGGCGACATATTGGTACTAGTGGTATATATCACATGGCGACATATTGGTACTAGTGGTATATATCACATGGCGACATATTGGTACTAGTGGTATATATCACATGGCGACATATTGGTACGAGTGGTATATATCACATGGCGACATATTGATACTAGTGGTATATATCACATGGCGACATATTGGTACTAGTGGTATATATCACATGGCGACATATTGGTACTAGTGGTATATATCACATGGCGACATATTGGTACGAGTGGGTATATATCACATGGCGACATATTGGTACTAGTGGTATATACCACATGTCGACATATTATGGTACGAGTAGGTATATATCACATGGCGACATATTGGTACTAGTGGTATATATCACATGGCGACATATTGGTACGAGTGGTATATATCCACATGGCGACATATTGGTACGAGTGGTATATATCACATGGCGACATATTGGTACGAGTGGTATATATCACATGGCGACATATTGGTACGAGTGGTATATATCACATGGCGACATATTGGTACGAGTGGTATATACCACATGGCGACATATTGGTACAGAGGTGGTATATACCACATGGCGACATATTGGTACGAGTGGTATATACCACATGGCGACATATTGGTACGAGTGGTATATATCACATGGCGACATATTGGTACGAGTGGTATATATCACATGGCGACATATTGGTACTAGTGGTATATATCACATGTCGACATATTGGTACTAGTGGTATATATCACATGGCGACATATTGGTACGAGTGGTATATATCATATGGCGACATATTGGTACTAGTGGTATATACCACATGTCGACATATTGGTACGAGTGGTATATATCACATGGCGACATATTGGTACTAGTGGTATATATCACATGTCGACATATTGGTACTAGTGGTATATATCACATGGCGACATATTGATACTAGTGGTATATATCACATGGCGACATATTGATACTAGTGGTATATATCACATGGCGATATATTGGTACCAAGTAGTATACATCACATGGCGACATATTGGTACTAGTGGTATATATCACATTGCGACATATTGGTACGAGTGGTATATATCACATGGCGACATATTGATACTAGTGGTATATATCACATGGCGATATATTGGTACAAGTAGTATACATCACATGTCGACATATTGGTACGAGTGGTATATATCACATGTCGACATATTGGTACTAGTGGTATATATCACATGGCGACATATTGATACTAAGTGGTATATATCACATGGCGATATATTGGTACAAGTAGTATACATCACATGGCGACATATTGGTACTAGTGGTATATATCACATGGCGACATATTGGTACGAGTGGTATATATCACATGGCCACATATTGGTACGAGTGGTATATACCAAATGGCGACATATTGGTACGAGTGGTATATATCACATGGCCACATATTGGTACGAGTGGTATATATCATATGGCGACATATTGGTAGCAAAGGTATATATCACATGGCGACATATTGATACGAGTGGTATATATCACATGGCGACATATTGGTACGAGGTGGTATATAGCACATGGCGACATATTGGTACGAGTGGTATATATCACATGGCGACATATTGATGCGAGTGGTCTATATCACATGGCGACATATTGGTACTAGTGGTATATATCATATGGCGACATATTGGTACGAGTGGTATATATCACATGGCGACGTATTGATACGAGTGGAATATATCACATGGCCACATATAAGTACGAGTTACCTGATACCTACCCTGGTCTGAGGGGTGACCTTATAGATCGGTGACTTAATTAGGTTCCCTGGAACCAACGCTTGAATAATGGGCAACCAGACAGATCAGCTACATGGACAAATGCGTCATAGCCTGACAGCGTGGGGCAAGTGTTGCTCACTCTATCGATCACTGGATGTCCAGACTATTTGCTGGTGGGCATGTAGCCGGAACTAAGTTACACCAACAAACAAAGAAAACATGAGTTCAGGTGAACACGGCCGACGGAGTACAATCTGGCGAACACACAAACACACAGATTCGGTAAATGTGTGAACCCTTGAAGGTCCGGGTTAGAATTGCTCAACAGAATCCCATGCTTGTCGTAAAGGTTTCTAACAGGATCGGGTGGTCAGGCTCGCCAACATGGTTCACGCATTTCATCGTATCCCAATTGCGTAGATCGATGCTTATGATGTTGATCACTGGATTGTCTGGTCCAGTCTCGATTATTCACAGACCGCCGCCATATAGCTGGAACATAGCTAAGTGCGGCGTTAAACAACAAACAAACAAAAGGTAATTGCGTATTTCTCGTTTTAATTTTGTCTTTTCCCGCAACCAGTTTCGCCGTCTACAGGAAATGTACGATGTCTTGTGTCATGTGTAAGATATAGCTCTGTTTCAGATCAGATGTGAAATAATTCTGTTGCAAAGTCATACTTTATATATGCGAAATAATGCATGTAAGATTGAGATACATTGTAGAAAGGCGGTCATACAG